TGATAGCCCTAGACCTGCAGCTCCCTGTCTCTTCCCACTGCCACACGGGTACTTTGCCCAGCTGGTAAAAGCAGGGAGAAAGGATTTAGATGAGAAGCACTGCAGCTCTGTGCCAAATCCTCCTCCTTATCTCCTACAATCCCTGTGTGAGCAAACTGGCAATGGTTACACTGGTAAGACCAGCAGGACCCGCTGCAAGGCAACGCAGCTGAGGACTCCTGGCAGCAGGGAAGCCCTCACTGCCTGCACATCCCTCCTGTGCCCTGGGGAATTACCAGGAATTGCCAACCTCTGGATCTCTCTGCAGGTTATTCCTACGGAGCAGTGACCTGCAGCAACAGGTGCAGTGGCTGCAATAGCATTTGGAATCAACAACACAGCATCAGCCTGACCAACAGAGACAAAACAGCAGTACCAGCAGATATATTACATCTAGATAAATATATATATATATATATACACACACACACATATACATATATATATATATATATATGTGACTTCAATATGGACTACTGAGAAAACCAAGAAGATTGAAGGCAGGTTTTAGAAAGTCACCCCTGCACAGCAAAGCAAAACCTAACAGCTATGGGTTGTTTCCCTCAACACAGGGTTGTATAGCAAAGAGCAGCTTACCTCTGAGTGCTTTCTGCTGCCATCTAACAGGATGAAATTTAAAAGACTTGATTTCCAAAATCATCTCAAATCCACAGGTGAATCCAAATCTTGCTTGGAAAAGTTGTACCCACTCCTGCCAACTCCAGGCCTTGTTCTCCCACAGGCATAAAAAAAATCTATCAGTTCAACTCCATTGATTTATATTGATACTGTAGTTTTTAACTAGCAATTTAGCAAGTGGCTAAAAAGAACTCAAAACAAGAAAACAGTAAAAAAAAAAGCTCAGAAATATATTTTCTTCCAAAACACCCCCCGTAGAACCTTCCTACTTTTAAAATTGCATCACAAGGTGATGCCTTGATGCTCTTTATATTTAAACCAAACAAGTGCATCTATTCCTTTTACATTTTAATTGCTCTGCCAGAAGGTGTCTTCTCAATGAGAACTTAATTAGGAGAAGTAGCCTGTGGAAACAGTGAATTGGATTCACCTGAGACAAATTGAAATAAACGTCCTTCCCCTTTCTTGTTGTGCTTCCCACTTCAATGTAGCCTTGATATTATCTTCAAATAAAATCTTCTTTTTCTGTTTGCTATTGTTCTCTAGCCAAATGATTCAAAAGTCTAGCTATATGCCTTTATTTCTGCGCTGATAAAAGCTATGGAAAGATATATTTTTTTCCTCCTCCTAACAGACCTAGAATTCAGTAGCGCACATAGATGGATAGTTAGCTCCTGTATCTTCCTCTGTGGTTCAGATATGTACTTTGAGGGTACCCATTTAATTCCCTACGTACCTATGTCATATATGTAACAGTAAAATAAGCTAAAGCAACCTCACCCATCCCTGTCCTACCTAGGGGAGGCAGAGCCCAAGTGGAGCAGCCAGGAACAGGCGCACAGTGCAGTAAAAATGCAGCCCTGTTCTTCCATACACCAAAGGTTTGGGTATCTGTTACTGCTTTTGTTAGCTTATTTTAAGACAATAAAGCAAGCAATGTGCATGCATGTGTGTTTAATATACATGATAATCTGCAGAAGCAATGTTTCCTTGGTTTTTGTGGAGACATTGCTGGCACAGGGCTCTTGGGAAATTTGCAGCAATGGAATTTTTTTAAGAGTTTGGGTTTGTGCTTCCCCCGCCCCCCTTAAATTATATGAAAGTTTTCTATTCATCATGAAGATTTATTGATTGTTCTGAGGCTATGGGATAATTAAATATACAAAGGGCTTGGCAGTCGTAGTAGCAAATATTCTTTCAGAAATGCTAACAATATATTAAATCCAAGGAATTCCACTCCTACTACTCTGTGGGGTCATAAACAAGTTCAGTGCAGAGGATATAAATATACATGACACCATTTAAAAACCAGGTACATGACTGGACTATAGCTATTGAGTTTTGTCTCACTTATCCCATAGTTACTAAGAGTAGTAACGCCTTCCCCTCACTTCAATTATGCTCATTATTTTGTAGCTGAATAAAATCATATATATGTGTCATTCATGGATTTTTAGTCTCATGAAGAATTATGCACTAGAATTAAATGGAAATGTATCATTCTGTAAGTATCCCCAACTTTTATAGAAAGTAAATTCTTGTCACCCCTCCCCTCCCACTGCTAACTGTCCAGCTATGAAACAGGGGCTATCTGCCCTCTGAGTGAGATTTTATTGCTAAAATAAAGTAAAAATTGTTTTAAAACAAAGAACACACATCTTTATAGTAAAACTCGAGTTTGTTTTACAGTTAGAGAAAAGAGTCACATGGTCCCCCAAAAAACCCCAAGTTTTTTTTTTATATATATATATTGAAAATATATTTAAAAACATAAAAAACTCTATAGTTAAACATATATTATGTTAATCAGTACACTTAAATATAGCTTAATTATATTTACAATATGACGCAGTTGCTTTTAAATTTTAATGCCAATTTCAGTTTTTCCCAAAAAACCATAAAATTATATAAATATACAATAAATATTTATGTTACACAAGGTGAGTAATAGAGAAAAGGCCACAGACATTAACTTACAGTTGCAAGAGTCTTTACTTTAACACAGCACTAGGCCTGCTGACATGCATGATATACCTTTGTCACAAACAGACCACGCAAGAGTTTAAGTGACATGAGAGAAAATCAACATCCTCCTCCCTCCCAGTCTCTGTTTTAACTAAAACTGCCAAGCCTGCAATCATGGATGTATTGGGTCAGGCAGGTGAGAGCCATGGGACTGCAGTTTAATTGCCAGTTTCATGTTATATCAATGGCAGAGAATTGGCATATGATGGGGAATATCATTCTAGATGTAGTTACAGGAGACAGCTGTCCTGCAGGTTCTCAGCTCCATCCCTTGGTCCCCCCACCCATAGTGGCTGCCCTTTACCCCTCTGAACTGACCATTCCATGATTTTAATTCTGTGAGACCAGTGCATCACCTATGCAAGGTGAGGATTTCTGAGTTAAGGATATAGCCATCATTAACTTGGGAAATGAGGAACTTTATTTCTAGCATGATTTATGCATTAACATTTCTCTTTTGGAAATTCAATTTATTTCAACTGGGAATTATTTTATTCCTGTATCTGAATTAGATTACTGTCATGGCCCAGCTATCATTTCTTTTTCCAGTCTAAATTAGCGAGCTGTTCATTATTCACTCATTAGCCTCACCCTTTCCCCTTCCTAACCAACCAGCCCTAGTTTTGAGGGGAGTCACCATTACATCATCTCTCTGCCGTAGTTTAGGGATATTGCCGAGAATAGCTCCTGGGCCATGTTTGGGTTACTAAATGCAAAGAATTATAATACACATATGGGTACTGGCCACAGTGGAATGAAATTCTCAATTATATTAACATTTAATCTGCTCAAAGAGCACTTCAGTTGAAGTTTTGAGACATTTAAGTAATTTGGTTTTTTTTTTTTATTTCTAATTTCTGTGGCAGCCTGAATATCTGCAACTGACTGGGAAGGCTGAACTTTGAAGTTCAGGTGGACCACACAACCCTCTCTTCTCACACATGCTCCAGCATGCACATGGCCAATGCAAAAGATTTCCATTGTACAGCTGGGATGGTTCTGTGACAGACAGTTATCCTAGGGAAGGTGAAACCTTCCCGCCCTAAGTAGAAGGAATCGCTGATTTTGAAGGTGTCTCTTTTGGCTTCCAGCATGAGCTTCTACTAGTAATGACATACAGTCAGTGTTAAATATGCTCTTCAAAGAGAATTATTGTGGGGGATCATATTTCAAATAAGCTTTGCCCAGTCCAGGTGTTTAATTAACTTCAACAGCAAGGCAGACTAATGCAGATTCTGCAGCATTCAGAAGCAGTTATATTTTGCAGTGTTTTTCTCTTTGTTCAACTACTTTTCTTCATCTACAGGATATTACAAATATAGCATCTGCCTTCAGTGAGCTCACTAATGAGCTATTTCTGCCTCCCTACCCACTGTAGTCAGTGCAAATGCTATGCACAGCTCTTCAGGCTTACAACCTGCCTTTTTAGAAATGCTTGTCAGGAGAGTTAGGGGGTAGCACAGGGCTAAATATGTCTATCAGAACCTAAGCAACATTAAGCAAACTCCTCTGGCACTAGTTCTTCACTTACTCCAAGAGTATTTTTTATGCCAGTATTTGTTTCACAAAATAAGGCTGGCAGCAGAGGTAGAGCCACACAAACATAAATGCTAACTGCTTTTAACGAGAGGCAGGGCCTTTCTGCCTCCTTCCCTAGCTCAGGCCCAGGGTTCTGTGGGGCAGGGATGCCACAGCAGTTTGCACACCAGGATGTGCAGGCCTGGGGCTGCCAGATGCGCTCTGGGGGGTATGGCTGTGCTACCTGCATCAGTGTATGAGGCCACTCTCTAAGGACCGTGTTTGGTGCTGTCTATGATTTAGATAGCCTCAGCCAACCCAAAACACTGCTATTTGTCCCTGAATTGGCCAAGCTACCCAGTTCCATGACCAACCTGTTTCAGATCCACTATCATCTTTCTAGACCTTTTTTCTAGTGACATTCTTCTTGTGCTTCACCAAGACAGTTGATCCAAGCACAGAGTCTTTTATTACATGAAAACCATTGCTCTCACCAGTCTGTAGATTATTTTTCATATGACAAGCTCCAGTTGTATGGTAACTGAAACACCTTAAAAATCACAATCAACATCCTTCCAGAGGGAGGAAAGGGGAAGGGAAAAAACCAAACCCCAAACACAAACAAACATGGTATAAGCAAATGCAGGTCTCAAAAGACAGCAAATAAAAATAATAAAAGAAAATAACCTCAAAAAAAGCATGTTGCCATACAGTTAAATAAGTGCTGTCTTTAAGCCTGAAGTTCAACAATGTGAAGTGGAACATCACCATTCTTTTTCAGTTGCCTCCTTTTTTATTTTTTTTTTGTCAGTAGTTGGATTGCTATTGCAAACATCTTCACAACATACAAAAAAACCCAAATTTGTTTTTAATCCAGAATAAGGTAATGATTTTTTTTTTCTTTTTCAACCTGATGGGAATTCAAAAGTAAAAGAGAAACAGTAAAACTATGACAACAGCACCTTGACATTGTTTTAATTCCAACGCTATCAGAAGTTAAAAGCAGTAAACAGATATAATACTAACAGGAATAAAGATACTTACTGTCTAAAATGTAAACGGAATGTTTTGGTTCAATTTATTTTTCTGAAAGAGGACAGTTTATAATCAATTCACAATTGAAGCAGCATGCAATTTTATTCTTTTTTTTTTAAAAACTTTTTATATTTTCAATTCTTGGCAACGGCGACAAACCACAACGTTATCGAGGAATGTAATGCAGACTTTGCTTGTTTTTCTTTTTTTTTTCCTTTTCTTTTTTTTTTTTTTCCTTTTTTTTTTTTTTTTAAACTTGTGCGCAAATGACTTGTTCCCCTTCAGGTCATGGATATGTTCAATAAATAGACTGTGGAACCACTGTACTGTATAAACTTCAGTTATACATGCAGTCCATAAAATTATTTTTTACTGAATAATTTACCCTGTTATGTATATATACAAATAGATAATTTTGTCTCAATATAATCTATACAACACAAATCCACTATCTTCCCCTTTTAATAGTTAATGTACATACACAGGAAGTGTCTATCCTTATAAAGCGCCAGCCAACTCGCTTTTTATTATCCATAGTGAGAGCTCTCACGTAAGACTGGGTAGTTCGGCACTGGGAGTTCCAGTGCCTCTTGTCTATGCCTCTGCAGCCCTCCTTTGTGTACCCCTTGGGGTTGCATTTGGTCTCATAGAAGTATTGCTTCAGTTGGCCTTTGGGTACTGGGACTTTTTCCAGGACGGTGACAGTTGCCCCGGACATATCCACTGCAGTCTTTTTCTCTGCCGCTGTCACCCACTCGCTTGTGCTGTCACATACACTCAGTTCCCCGCGGCGGGCTGGGTCAGAGTGGCGTCGGACCCTCATGGACATGTTTGCAGCATCCAGGTAGTTTTTGTACTCCTCAAGCAGAAAGAGCAGTGGGGGTTCCAAAGGCACTTGACTGCTTAGCATGACTCGGGATGTGTACAAGTCTGCATCCTTGTTTTCCTCGCTGGGCTGGATGTCGTGGTCCTCATCCAAAAGCTCCTCTATGACATGTTCAAAAGTGTCCGCCAGCGATGTCAATCCTCTTGAACCAGCACTGGGCCCATTTAGGCTCTCAAGAGTCCCGTGGGTCCGAAGACCTGGGTAAGCCAAGCTGCCTTGTCCTCTTACACTAGCTTCTTTCATCGGGGCAGCTTTCATGCAACTGAAGTATGAGATAACCATAGTAAGGAAAAGGATGGTCATCACTCTTCTCACTTGGTGGAACTGTTAAGGACAAGAACAAGAAAAAAGAAAAATATTTAACTCACAAGGGATGGAGCAATAAAAATTCATCTGAGTTGTCAAAAGACATTATGCATTTTCTGCAGAAATCTGCTGCATGTAGCCACAACTCATTACCAGTGATAAAGCACACTCTTGTACAAGGCTGTTCTTTGATTTAGAGTTTCAGATAAAGCATATCCCAAAGCTTAAGCAACATTGATACCAGCAAGTCAGAGTTCTTACATGCTAAAGTATTTCTGTAGAAAGTATTAGATTAGATACTATATGGACCCCTTATTTGTTGACTGATTACACCTATTTCAAGTAACAGCAAAAGTAGAACGGCTGTTTAGTGATCCAACATTCAGCAGTAAAAGGCAGCTTTGCAAGCATGAAAGGCAAGGCATCCATTTCAAGTGCAAATGCAAATATTTAATTTTTAAGATCTCTTTATGCCAAAAATATTTCATCATTCTATCCACAAAAAAACCTGAACAGCACCAGGATAAATTGCATTTATATTTTGAAAGCAACATTCAAAAAACAGGGAGACCATACAAATTCTGAAGTCTCAGCAGGTGAGTTCCTCATCTAAAAGTAGAAGGTATGTGTGTATGCATAAATATAGAACAAGTAAATGGCCCAGGACAGTATCCTTACTGCCATACTAAATTTGAGCTGGAAAGACTGCTTGTGTCACATGAATGCCACGGAAGGGACCTGCTGGATTACAGAGCTGATAAAGAGCTACACTGAAACGACAGTACCAGAACCACTGCACCGTATTTTCCCAGAGCCCCACACTGCCTGTTCTCAAGTGGGCAAAGGATCTGTTTAAACCCAGTTAAAGCCCAGAGCCCAGCATGAAAGCTAAAAGCACAACCAGCCCTACTGCCATATGGAAACACAGAGCGGTTTGCCTGTTTCTCTCACGTTCTGCCCAGAGTTCTGGCTCACGTCATGGGCCATGCTTTGAGGCTTGGGCGTACGCTTGGCTCTGTCCTCATTGAGCATGGAGGGGTAGCACCAGGAAAGAGGGCAGGTAAGAAAGCTTCTCACCAGGCTTGGAATCAGCACAACTCACTCATATCAGCACTCCTAACAGTGTGGCATGTATGACTGCTCCTTCCCAAGTGCTTTGCTAAGTCTCTGCAGATAATGTTTTTTGGGGTAGAATTTCCGCCTCAAGTGCAGAGTACGCACTTTCGGTACTATTACAGCAAGAACTGCCCAAGTCCTGCAGTGACAGAGAGCTATACTTTCTGTCTGATCTTAAGTGCTACTACAACATACATCAAATCCAGTTGTTATTATTCCTCCTTCTGATTGCTGCTCTCACCAGTTCTGCTTGCTAGAAAGCAATGGCATTGTTCACATTTTTGAAGAAGCAGCTAATGCTCATTTCAGAGCTTTTGAAGTTCATTCGGAAGTACCTCATACTTGGCAGTGCTCATTGGAGTAAATGCTATTTCTGTTTGCCAACAGGGTGCTATGTAAAAAGCTTTACTTCATCTCCTGCAAATATGCTGTGGGAACCTAGTACTCTTAAGACTTGAACATGGAAAGACAATCTATCATAAAATATACAAAGAAAATGAAATATGTACTAGGAAGGCAGTGCCCAAAATGTAGGTCTCAAAGTTTACTTAATGAAGTCTGGGGGTGGGAAGTGTCCATATCCCTCTCACGCTCACGCCCCCACTAAACAAGACACTGGCTAAGAATCCTCTTTACCCTAGCACAACTCTTCCTTCATCCCTCCATCTCTCTTCCTGTTTAGAAGTGTTATTATGGCATAGATTTATTAAGATTAAACAAACCTGACATCTGTGACTCACAGGAACATAGTGTTTGCTCTAACCATGCAGAACGTTAATATTTTGCAGATTTTTTTTCATCCTAGGATTTTTAAAACATTCTACAGGGAGCAATATCAGATTTCATCCTCAAAGGGGAGAAAGATAGACACTACAGAGATGATTTATAACACAAGGAAGAAGGTTATCAGTCTTCCTTTATCAAGCAAAGAGAGACAAGACAAGACGGAGATGGGGTATTTCAGCAAGCAAAACAAATGCAGAGCTAGTGGAACAGGCAACAAAAATAATATTCATACACTCCCTCTTCTGAGAATTGTTTTATATAAAACTTAAAAAGAAAAAAACAAACCCAAACACCCACATCATGCTTTGTGACCACCAGAGCAGTGAACAGAACACAGATCTTCTGGCTCTTAATCAAGTTCCTGTTATTTTTACTAGAATAGTGCCCAGAGGTCTCAGCCAACATCTTGACTCTGGAGGACAGATTCTGTCTGAGCACGTAGTACCCCATGGGGCCTTCCAGTGCAAAAGAGGGGACACAATACAAGAGGCACCAAGAGAAGCACAAAACAGAGAAGGAGAATCTTGCATCCATCAGCTAAGTATAGCAGTTGGAAACATTTGCTTTTCAAGTTAGGTAAGCGAAAAAAAGGATATAAGGACTCCTGGACCAGGCCACATTCTTCACTACTGTCATTAGGGTGTTTATCTCTCATGGTAGCAATGGACTCGGAAGGATGTGAAATGAATAAATAGTGGCTGTGCAACTTAGTGTGCATGGATATTTTTCTTACAAGGAAGAGGGCAGAGGTGTGGAGAAACCTCATCAATTGACTCCAATAAGCCCTCAGCATCCACTGTCAATGGCTGGTTGGTCATCAGATCTAACAGTACTTTACATCTCAGGTTAAATTAATCCTTCTTTAATCAATTTTGCCTTCCACTTAGGAAGGAAACTTCTGTCAAGTTTGATCAATTTACATCCTATCCAATTATATATGACCACTGCTATTATCAAGAAACAGTGTACAACTAGACTCTGAAAACCAAAAACTTTAAGATAACAATTATCCACATACCACACTGACAATACACAAGAAAATGTGTCCCCCTAAAAGACACCCCTCTTCCTTATGTTCACAACAGTAGAAGACTATGTCAAAGTAAGCTTTAGTAGTGCAGACACATGGAATATTGCTAGCAAGGAAACAGATCAAACATCTACTTCTTTGTAAATAAGTCCCAGACTAAGGTGAGCTCCACAACTAGGATGTGAAAAGACTCTTCTCTCTTGACAGTGACTTGAGCAATATACACAGTCCTTGTATTTGGCAGCAAAATGATATCCAGTGATTTAATATGAGGAAGTAATATTTTAACACCTAGGAAATATCTTCATTTTAGAGGCCATAGCAATTTCTAGAAGTAGCTGCTCACAATCTACTACTTTAAGATGCTATAGCAGAGCAGAGCAGATTTAAGTCTGCTTCACAGGTAGAAACACAAACTTTCAGCTACTTTTGAACTGACTCATGAATGCTCATCTCTTACTTAGTGGGGCAGGACTAATATCCCAACACATCACCAAAAAGGTCACTGGAAACACTTTGGATGGCAGCATCCAGTCCTTTTCCTCTGCTTCCAACTATCAAACCTTTATTATGTTGCAAAGCTTAGAGATACTGCCTGTCCTGTTACAATAAGTGTCTTGTAAACCCCAAACACTAACAGTTTACACATACCCTTCCAATTATGAGGAAGTCACCATGTCACTGCATGTGAAACCAGGGTGGGAACATGGGAGAAAGCTGTATTTTCCTGGTTTCCCAGCATGCTACTACTGAGCAAGGTATTGCCCTTTTCCATCTTGGGCACATCCACCACTATGAGGCCTTGCATGCAGATGCCCCAGCATTTCTGTGAACACCCATGCCTGATGCTACTCTGGTAGACTGAGCAACTATTTCCCATGGTGGCTCATCAATGCTGATTATTTCTTCACTGGAGCAACCTGGCTGATACCACATGTTCTGAGGGCATTGATATGACTGAATGCCAAACAAAATAGAGTAGCCATGGCCACTTTCAGTCAGTCATGGAGCTAGAAAAATACAAAATAAAATCACTGACGATACAGCCTGTAGTCCTATCGTGCATCCATCCCCTCCCTTCTCAGCTGTAGGAGGTTCAGGTCTCGTCTCTGCACCTTCTAGGAACAACAGCTAAAGGCTGTGGGTTTTTTGCACTCCTCCTGTTCAGTTATGTCACTGGGCATAAATTATCAAAGACTTCTCTAGGAGGAGGAATCTTTATTCAATTGCTGTCCCATAGACTGTTGTATACACCTACTAACTTGTATTAAATGGCTATAAGCTTTTTAAAACAGATGCATGCTAGCTTCCTTCAGACCGAGCCTTAAGCTACTCCCTCAGCTCACTCAAGACATCTCTGTCAGAAAAATCCATTTGAGACTGCTTTCCTGAACAACATCCATTCTCATGGCTGCAAGAGCATCCTTCCTTCTCTCAAGCAGCATAGCAAAGCTGAAGCAATGAAAAGAGGTCACACACCATGGACCAGATCTCAGGAAGACGTGACCTAGTTTGTACTTCAATAAAGTCCATACAATTACAGCTAGAATAAGGGCACATAATTGTGGCAGTCGTCCCCACTAATGGGAAGGTGGCTCGTTAAACGAAGGTCATGTCAATTATCTACAGCTAGTTTACATGTGCAGTCAATTACCTAGCAGTACTATTTATTTCAGTTTTTTTTATTTAATGAGGATTCACCAGTTAATTATTTCCTTATTTTTCCTTATTTTAGCAGAAATCTAGCAGCTTAACAGGTTGTATTTATAGCAGAGAGACCTGAGGAACAGCTGTGAACATATACTTGCTTTTCTGCATCCTGATATGTGCTATGAAAGTTGAAATAACTTTCAGTAGGGAATAGATTCATACTGCTTTAGTCTCCAGAAAGGGGTGTGCAGTGGAAGATAAAATTAGCAGCAAGAAGACATTCATTTTCTGCCTTGCCATTTTCTAAGACCTTTATACAAAAGACAATTTACTAAATACTACTGAATGTGAATGGCACAGGCATTAGTTCCTGCTCTACACATCATTACCAGAGTGTGTGAACAGACACCAGAATGGGATGCATGTCAGCACATGAT